AATTCAAAGAACCTATTGCAATAAAACGGCAATTTCATACTTTAACCACTAATATTTGACAAATTAAAGTAATCACGAATAGACAAGATGAAAGTTTCGAAATTAACCATTTTATTAATAAATTGATTAACTTGGGAATTGTTTCTATGAAATTTCTCAAATCTTTTTTTTTTTAAGTAAATAGAACAGCGCTATTTTCATTCGAGTTTAATGGAAACACGTGAATCTAATAATTATTGAGAAATTCTTTTTATCCATTCAATCGTCACTTCTAATTTAATTTCATATTTACACTTTGAAGTAAACGTTTAATTGATTTAGTTAAGTCACTAGTATATGTAGTATCTCTATTACCCGGGGTTAAATGCAGTTACAAAGATCTCTTCCAAGAAATACCATCCTACAATTTATTTAAAGTTAAAATATCACCTAAAGAGAATATCAGCAGTACAAGTTTATGTGATTCAACTCTTTATTCTTGATTACAGAGTGAAATTGAACGATGCCATCCTTTCGATTGTGGCATGCTCGTCTCGTTGCATCGTAGCGCTCGCAGACGGTACTGTGGCGATTTTCGCACGTCTGGCGGACGGACAGTGGGACCTTACGCAATATTGGCTACTCACGCTGGGCGACCCTAAATGTTCGGGTAATGTCTTATTTTTTTAATTTATTTAAGTACGCACCGCATCGCTGTTATATTATAATAATAAACATTGATATTGCGTCTCATGCAGTTAGTTTTTAGAGTGGCCCTGGTGGCGAAAGCGATATCAATCAAACAAAATATATCTGTTATCTACGTTACCTAGTTGAAAAGATAGAGTATACTCTCTTAGATGTTACATGTGTGTCTGTTGTGTGTAACACAATCGGAATCGATAAAATTTTTTGTGTCGCCATTTTGTCGTATCTTGTCTCATTCGTGCTTCGTTTCTCGAATTCGAATGTTTTCTTGTCTTTGTAGTGCGTTTGTTCAATTATATTGTGTTTTTGTTAAAGTTTTTGTTTATTGTTAATATTTTGTAACAGATAATTGAAATTGTAGAAAATGAGAACCTCATTTTCCAATTCCATTAAATATAGAAGGTTCTGCATTCACACTTTGCCAATGACATTTCTTTGTTAACATTTAGGACGTCCAATTACGATTCATACTATAGTCTTTATAAAATATGTAAAATTTGCTCCTTTGTTTAGAGATAAACCATTATTATTAATAATTAGAGACTACCGACGCTATTTACAGTAACTAACTGTGGTGTCTTTTATTGGTACTCTGTATTGATGATACCATTATGTGCATATATTACATTATAGTGCGCTGCCTCAGCGCCGTGGGGTGCACTGTGTGGTGCGGATACCGCAACAAAGTACACGTGATCGAGCCGCGGTCGCGCGCGCTTTTATATACGCTAGAGGCGCACCCGCGCCAGGAGAGCCAAGTCCGCCAGATGGCCTGCGATGGAGATGGCGTCTGGGTAATGATTTTAGTCGCTCAATACTGATTATTAGCCTTTGTTTTTCTATTTGGTTCTATTTAATCATCCCGTGACAGTAACGATTTTGCCAATCTCCGACATATACATACCCATATTGCGACGTAATGTATTTATGTATATAAAGGATTATGTAAAGGTTTAAGTTTTAACACATTTATTGTACAATAATTAGCCCTGCAGACTTTCTTTTTTCACAACAGCTAATGTTGGCTGGACGAGATCTTTTCTAGAGATAAACTCACTTTTGTATATATCCTTCGTATCGTGATTTTAAGTCTTTGTGTAATAAAGATTTTATATGTTCGTCTGCTTAAAGGTAAAACCACATAAGTGACATTGTCCCCAAAAAGTCTTCAATTTATATAGCTATAGTAAAAAAATCACTATATTTCTGCACGTGAAGCTAGATAAGAAAAAAGCTATAAATTTATTAAGTTTTATCTGCGGAAATATTGTGAATTTCTTACAACTGGTACATAATTGGGAGAATTTTTGTGGAAAATGTCACGTATGTGGTTTTACTTTTAAGCAGACGAATATAATTTAAATTTCATTATTCTATACATCTCCAGGTATCAATTAAAATGGACTCCACTTTGCGCCTGTATCACGCTCACACATACCAACACTTGAAAGATGTAGACATCGAGCCGTACGTCAGCAAGATGCTGGGCACCGGGAAGCTAGGTTTCTCTCTCGTGCGAATTACTGCGTTACTCATTAGCTCGGGTCGGCTGTGGATCGGAACCAGTAATGGCGTGGTCATATCCGTACCACTGTCGGAAGGCTCCAGTCGTGACTCTATTGGAGGCTCCTTACCACCGACTAGTGGACGACCACCAATACCAGGTTAGTTCCATATAAGTATCAGTACGGGATTTCAATTACACTTGTAATAAGAACTGATAAAACCATGTGTCCCGCTGAATCCGCCGTCATGTCCGGTCAGTTATCATTGAATGAGCGTTTTCACATTAGACGACAGGATACCAGGATACCAATCGGTAACAATATTGTCATGGCGATGATCCTAAATGTGTACGTAGTACGATATAAATAAAACAGATGACGTTCTCAGGTGATAGTACGCAATGTGAAAACGCTACAATGTCATACGTGATCAGAACATTGACGCAAACTGGACGCATTTATTTAATGCTTTTGTGAGTACCACAGGCGTGAAAGAGTCAGTTCTCAGTGCAGATATTATGTAACTTCTAGATAAAATTCTTTTATTCATCCAGTGTCGCATCTTTTTTTTTAATGATATCAATTAACTACTGACAACTAGTTGACAAGTCCCTTGTGCCTGTAATTTCATCAGCACCCTTATGTTCAGTGTAAGAAATTAAGAAATGTATTATGACAACGTTTTTGGTAAAAACTGAGACAAACTGGTTAATTGTAGGGCATGCGACACTGGTCCGAGCGCGGTCCACCAGTCCTACAGGCACGATTCCGTGGTGTTCGATGGCGCACGCCCAGTTAAGTTTCCACGGACATCGCGACGCCGTCACGTTTTTCGTGGCGGTCCCCGGAGCTGCAACGTCGCCTGCTCGTACCCCGGAGTCCCCCCGCCGCCAGTCCCCCACGCCGCCACCGATGCTGGTCATATCTGGCGGGGAGGGCTATATTGATTTTAGAATAGGTAAGTAGCTTTACTCATTGTAAACCGAGCGCAACAAGATCGCCGTGTTAAGTCTTACCTAACGTTAAAAATGAGTCTTAAACAATTTATTACGAGTGCATGTGTTTCATTTTGAATCGTCCAAATTTTTATAGAAAACATTTCTATAAAAATGTTTACCACACGGCAATTGGAGGCTTGTGGCCTTTGTGCCTTGTGGCCTAATTAATCTTGTAATTTACTTGTGCTAAAGCACGTTATTTTTTATTGTATTTATGTATCGTTATTGTATAGCTACAATATTTAATGATTAAAATTAAATACAAGACAATAATCGACAAAATCAAAACAAGCAATATGCACGTTAGCATAGATACGAGATGTCTTAAAAATTCTAGCTTTTGCTTAGAAACCGATACACATGTAGTAGCTTTATATGCTTATCATATATTACTTATATGCTTCTACCATCCAACAAAAAATAATTGACTTTTAACATTTATAGATTTTATATTTTCATTACTACGAAAGTATAAAGATAGTAAATAACTATTCCAATTAATGAGTAATAACTATACCTTATTTCATTTGTGCCTATTGTTTGATTTGAGCCTTCAGATGTTGTTTTTCTACTAAAATGTTTCAAACAACATCTTTAGAACATTGCTTCAGAATAATCTTGTTTCATCAACAAAAATCGTAAAACTTCATTACATCTAATTCATTATTAACCAATAAACATTTTAGTGGACGAATATTGTCTGGTTTAGTTCCTTTTTAATTTTCTTCGATTTTTTATTTTTGCCATTAGAAGAGCATGCGGATGACGTCAGAGATACCGCCTCCCACCTCATTGTTTGGCAGATTCTAAGTGACGTTCACTGATTTAAATATAAGATTTAAAAAGTAAAACAATGGTACGTTTTTTACGGTAACCAAATAGCATGTGCTTGGGCCACAAGATACACTAACATAAATAATTGCTAGTCGTAAACATACATCATATACATTTTATGAATCTATATACAAGTATACTAACGCATGTCATTTGGGCAAATAAATGGAACATTCATATTATTCATAGTCATAATCATGTCACTAAAATGTGTAACTATAATTGTTATATTTATACCAAACCAACACCAGCTTCACATGCTTGGATTTTAACAACCATACCACCGTAACATGAAATTATCACACGCAATCATAAACCTAGATAACTAAAAATAAGGTAAGCGTTGTTCTAAAGGATACTTTGCGACGTAACTTGTTTAGTTATATGTACAGCTAACGTGTATGTTGCTAGTATTGAAACTGTAAATATTGATGTTTTAACCTTTTTTGATTTGCTCGTCTCATTTAGCCTATAGAATTGACGTTTTGCTTGTACGTTTCGAGAAACCAAAATATTGGTTTTGAAATCTTACATTTAGGTAAATGTAAAGAGGTAAAAAGATACAAAAAGTTGTTAAACAGTTTGTGAGGATGATCTTAACTTTAGAGTTTCCATTTTTTTAACAGAGCTTGCTCATACCGATTGAGTTGAGGCGAGTTGATATAGTAATTTTCTAGCTTTCGGTTTCTAGAAAAGAATTAAAACATATATTTTAAACATATATTTTGAAATTATTTTCTTACTTATAGCCTTATTCTTTGACCACAATTCCACATAACTATATAATTAATGTTCCTAGAGGACAGACACGCTTTGATAAATGTATATCTGCTGAATATTCAAATAAAAATAGAGACAAAATCTTAATTTAAATTACTATAAACGTTTGAAACATTCTCCCATTAACAATTTTGACGATAGTTATAAGTTTCACTGCCCCCTTACAAAATCTAAAACCAAGTGTTAATGCTATCCGGGACCTTGTGATGCCTATCTCCCGGGACCTAAGTGTTCTACCCGGAACATTGAAAGTGTTTTCGTGTTTATTGTCATATATAAGATATTATGGATATAAAGTATAATTCAGAAATAAGGGAACATTTTCCATTACCCTTCACTTGGGGAGTTGTGGTTCGGCAATGTTCATTCATTTGAAATACATAACCAAAATCAAATCTTTCAAAGACAAATTCTTGCTTCTCATCTACATACGTACTTAGCAGCCAATTCAAACCGTGCAACGGATATAAACAACAGTAAAATACACCTTTTTTATGTCCTGCTAATGTAAGATCGGTCTATGGCCCAAACCACCTATTTAGATGCCAACCATGCCCAGTAGACGAAGGTTTTATATGTGGTCATGGTAATATTAGTAATGGGAATATTCGTAAATCTTGTAACCCATCACGCTTCCTAGAAACAGTGTCAATAACAATTTTGGTAAGAAAATAAAAAAATATATGATTTTTTTAGGTGGATGAAAACACAGCTGGGCATTAAAGACACTGTGATACTAGGTTGCGTGACGCGTTAAATTACGAATTTCTGACGTTGGCCCAGCTAACTTTTTTGTCACACTTGTATTATTATGGTTATTATTAGTTACTAACACTAGCATTACCTCGACAGCCGACTCCGAACTTGAAGACAGTGTGGTGGTAGCCGAGGATGGGTCTTCTAGCGGCCACAGCTCATTGGCTGAACGAGCTACAAAAAGTCACCTGGTTGTGTGGCAAGTGGCCACAGCTTAACGTAGGGCAAGCCGCGCACGCCCCAACTCGGATTCAGACTTCGTTTACGTGTGTACCTCGACGAAACCTGCAGTTCTCGTCAATTTGTAAGTGAATAGGTACGTATTTAAAGGTCTAGTGTATAAACGTGTACCGACAGTAGCTGCCCTAATAACCGTTATTTGATCTGATACAACGTCATTAAAAACCCTTTAATTATTTATTTTTTATGGAGTACATAATCTACATCCAGGAACTATGCACATGCTACGTACATACAATACAGTATGTCATTTCATGCCAACAAATTAAAAAAAATTGAAACTAGGCATTTCTTTCGTTGTGTTTAAATTCACTTATTGTCACCTGCACTTTGTACACGATACCAATATGTGGAGATAAAAAGGATTTGTGGAGATGTGTAGTCGGTTTTTTAATTACTTAGGAGTTTGGTTGCATTCGCAATTAGGAATTGGTTGGTTAAGTGTTGGTCCTTCAAAATCCATTCTCACCTATTCACTAATCGGAAGCTCACAGGGCATGAATATTTTTGTTTATATGGCTTGAACAATGTCTCCAAATTTAAGACATTTCTTACGACGACGATATTGGTTTCGTTTATTTCGATAATTACAAAATTATTCGCGCTCTGTAAACATTCGACTACTTTTTCGCCAATTTGTGTGTTTTGCCATCCACCAAAATTAGGCATGTCACATACTAAACGTTTCTGAAGTGAAGTGTGCACGGCACCAAGCGTTGTGTTTTAGACATTCGTTACTATAAATTGTGTGCTTTTTTGGCTAGATACTTATACCGCGCCACTTTAAAACTTGCATTGCTCATAATATAAAAATATATATTACAAAAGACTGAGTCGGTGTATAGTTTTGTTTATTTATTTAATTTTTCGACTTCAGTCTTTACCTTTAATCTCATGTAGAATTTATGTACAAGTTGTAACCACCAAAATAATTTTTGTAGTGCTAGTTTAGTTAGTAGAGAAACAACATTAGAGATTTTATATTAATATTAATTAATACATGTGTAACTGTAATGTAATAAATATCTCTTTGTTGATTCCAAGTTAATTAGCATTGCATTTTCCTCGATATACTTTACTCTTAATTGTAACGAATTAAAGTTCACAAACAATATCGTTTTGAGTATCTAGTGGAAAGTGCTTAATAGGTTTATAGGTGCCAGTTAGCTTGGAATATTTTGTAAGTGAATAAAGTCGTGCTGAATGTGGTTGTCATTTACATCACATTAATTTAGGTTGGTAGTTAAGGCTATTGTTGAACTGCCATGAACTCTAAACATAATAATATAATCGTAAATTTCGCTCTCGTTCACGTGTAGCTTTGCGACTTTCATTCACATATTTTTGTTGTCGAACAGAAATGATATCAAGGCTGTTGCAATAACAATATTATGCCAAAAGGCGCTAGTTTAGAGTATAACAGATTATGAATGTTTTAATTGACGAATATTGATTAGAGAGAGTATTTCATATCTTGTATAAATATATAGATAGCTAAAATCCTAACATAAGCACTCGTATTTGCCCAATATTTTTTACTTGCTAAACGCAGAGTTTTACTCGCAGAGTTCGCTTGGCATTGACTTTTTTCCTATCATCGTAATTGTAATAGTGAAAATATTATTTTATGTTTAGGACATGTAGTATGGTCACTATGTAACATTGCTTATAATCATTTCGGTCCAACGAATATATTTTAAGAGACCATGAGATCCTTGTGTAAGAATTATTTGTAATCCTCATTTTGTGTTTTATTTATGCTAGGGTAACTGAGCTATACTGCCGACCACTAACTAAAACGTGTGTCAAATATCCACTTTAAATAGCAAAAGGTAGAGCACAAAATTCACTTTAAAAACTGTTAAAATGAGTTAACGTGTTTGACTTATCGGGACTTAACCTAACGATGCATAGTTGAAATATTATTAAACAATTTCAATAATCAAAACTGGGTTATAGCTTATTTATGATATCTCAAAAAAAATATTTTGTCACTTTGCCGCGATTTAGTTAACGGATGGCAGTATAGTTATTATTGCAGAAGATACTGTCATAAAAGTTTATTTATTTTAAAACGAGCATCTTTTGTGAATACTAGTCAAAATAATTCGTCGTAGTTAAATAACTAGATTTACATTGTTTTGCTAATATATTAAATAAATCTAAAATAAGTGGATCTAAAATTGGACTCAGCCTAAGTTATGCCGCCTCTTAAGGTATGCCATTGATTGGTGTGCAGAAGATTGGTAGTAAAGCTGTAGTTGTGACTTTGTTTAGTTGTCTAACATAACTATCGATAGTTCTCACTGTTTTGTAAAATGTTGCACACCCAGTCGTACAGGTTGTAAGTTACGTTTGATTTTCTATTCAAAGACAGGTGGCATATCTGACTGCGTGTCGGCTGTAAACATCGGTTTTTCGGGCATTAAAGATTAGTCGTATTTTCTGAGTGAAATACAGGAAAGCCTTTTTCGAGTGACAAGTTTTTTATTTCTTATTAATATTTACGAAGGAAGAAGTTACTTATTTAAGGATCAATGTCTCATTTTTTTTTGTTGGTTTAAATTTTTCATGTATATTAGGGAAGTAGTTTTACGCAAATACACCAATAACGGTAATTTATCGTTGCAATCATTCTGCTGTTTCAAATAAAGAAAAGAACAAGTGTAACCTGATAAATTTCAGATGCTCTTCATTTATATCATTTTTTAAGGTTTGCTACAAAAAATGGTAATTGAATTATATGCTCGAAACTCGATATTCTATTCACGATTTAATTAAATAGTACTTAACATGTTAACAACGTAAGTAAGACCCATTGCCGAACATGATATTGTTGTCCGTATTATTAATATGAATTCTATTTATTATTAAATTATGTTTGTGTTTTTATATTTTCATATTTTAACTATGTAATACTTTAAAGTATCGCCAGCATCATCGTGCCGTTCGAACTTTCTAAAATATCCGTATAATTGGGTAAATTCAACTATGTGCCACTTGTTGGTGAGTACACTTTTAATTAACGTTGTGACAATAGAAACATCTATTTAATCTCAATGAGATAAGGCTTATTGTCAAATGTTAAAAAAAATGTAATGTGTCGCTGACTGTACCTAAAGTAAATTGATCCAAAGTTTTTGTTAGATACTAACTTTTTTGGTAATATTTTATTTATGGACAATGTTCAAATTAATATTTTATGTTATTACACTGTACAAATATGGTTTTTGATATATGGAGGTCATAATATATAGATACAGTTTATAAGAAACTCACGTAGATGAAATGAAATGTATCATTAATTTTCTTGTTTGTATTACATGTTATGCAAATGAATAAATGAATGCTGAATATTACGGCTTGTTGTATATTTTATTCAACCTTGTGTGAATTTACGTAGGAATGAATCCTATTCGTGTTGCTTGCCGTTAGTAATGGATCGTTTACAACCACATGAGTTCAAAGTCAACTAACCCCACGCGTCGGCGAATTCCTCCGCATGCCGGCTGCCCACAGGACGCCGCGTGAAGCCACGTAGGCAGCGCTTAATTTTCGCGCTCCCGGCGCGTAATTTTTGGCGCGCTAGTCAAATAATCTTTATTTCATAGGTAAACAAATTACTCTTCAAATCGTCATACTGATTAAACTCTACTGCTCATTCGTAAGGCAGATCCCCTGAGAAGAATAAGCAAGAAACTTTAGGGTTTGCTCTTTGTAAAAATACATCTGAATACATTTATCATTACAATATTTAATTTAAACATCTTAGATCGAGAATACCTATAAAAGACCTAAACGGGCCACTACCACGGATTTTTGTCCTAGTACGCAGAAGTTTTTAACCACAGACCTTTTTTCACAGAGTTTTTAACCTTCAGTATAAAGTTTGTGTTTCACAATAGTTTTAAACGTCGTAAATGGCAAATTTTGTTTATCAATCCGAATCTTATTATAGAAGCATATATATTCTGCCCTGCTAAGCCGAAAGGCGCTATCTCTGAGTTACGCCTTTTTAGTTTTTTTTATGTCATTCAATAGCTATAAAAATTTCGCATCTAATGGTATAATAGAAATAGCGCTATCTAACTTAAAACATTTAAAAAACCACTAAGAAGTATTTTTAAATACAATACAATTACATAAAATGCAATTTACAAAAAGTCGATTTTCTCAAAACTTACTCCGATTGAGATAGCGCTTTTCGGCTTATCAGGGCAGTATTGCCCCTTAAATGAATTTCAGACTTTATGAAGACGAATGTCAAGAACAGCTAGTTTATTTTAATTCCTCGTATTAGTAGTGTTACGTCTGTCACTATTTTTCATTAAAAAAAATTAGTATCATTCTCTTACTGCGGTACGTGCAATAGAGAATTTACACTTTGTTACATTAACGAATAAACGATGCTTCTCATGCGATGAACAGAAATAAACGCAAAACTTAATTGTGCTGTATGTTGTCATTACCTGCATGGGTAGCTGCGAAAGAGACTGTGTCTGCCACTGACTACGAGGTTATGGTAGCACATCATGTAATTCGTCACTTCTTAAGTCTTTCCTTATTCCAGCGTCATCGTAAATAAATTTTTACTAATCGGTAGTCTTTGGTTAGTAGATTTAGTTGGTTCACTGTTTTCAAATTTAGTCGACTCTGGGTTAAGCTTCAGCTGCCGGCTTGAGCCTGGGACTCCATTCTTCAATCTCGACAACCTCAGCATCTATCTTTAAGTACCTACTTGAGTTTTATACTATAAGAACATTGTTCGGTCCCTTTACAAGTCCCATTCACGGCTGACTATACCGCTTGTAGTGTCAGAAACGTTGGTTTGTTTGTAAAAACAAATGTACGCGATTTAGACTCGGGAAAAGAAGTAGTTTAATTTCCTATCCATTTTTAATCGTATCGCATCCAAAAAAGTTAATCGAGTCCATTCCAGTATCTAACTAGCAGAAATGTTGTGATGTTGATTATCTTATATTATTCCATTATCAAAGCTGATTATACTTTTTTCTATGTCATACTGACGAACCATCAGCTGTCAAAACAATCTGGATAATGGGACCAGTCTGACTATCAATCTGACCAAAGGAAAACACTGCTAAATAATAGGCTCCTTGTTCAAAAGAACGGATAGGTAGGTAAACAAATTATTTCGTTGATAGGTATAGCTATGTGAAAAAGCATTGAATATAATCAAGAATGTGTGGCTTCGAACGACCTCCATTCCTACTTGTTCTTTGTGATTGAATATGTTGGGAAAAAATGGTGGTCAAATTTCATCTCTGTCGTTTAATTTACGTAAAGGACATTATAATTTTTTCGTTCGCCATTCCATCAAAACAATGCAATCGACTTATTGCAGTTTTTCTGTAACTTATCTTCTCTATATTCCATAATTTTGTTTTCTATCAACTATTATAATGCTACTTAAAACATGAAATGAGCTTTAAACTACCGTAGCTGAACGTTTTTCAATGCTCCGGTATAATAATTATCAAAATTTTAGTCGTAATTTTTTCGTACACCCTCCATTCATTCATTTCGGCCATGTCTTTTTGCCTTATATAATTCTTGATGATTATCGACCTTCACATAACACATTGTTCCATTATTATTACTTAATAAATTCTGATTCACACAATTGTACTCTGTGCGTCTCGCTCGCCTCTAGTAGGCCAATATCCACACACGACATTCACATTCTTCTTGTATAACAAAATAACACGGAGATAGAAATGGTCATTTCATGGCTAGCGCAGCGCCATAGTCATCACAGAAAAGAAAGGTAATATATATAATAATTCTGTAATAGCGCAAGTTTTGTCTATTTCCTGTCATGCATGCTAAGGCTGGAATATATTCTATATGTGGTATAGTGGTGGCATTGTTATGTCAGAATGGTGAAGGATGATATTGTCTTTTAGGTAAATATAAGATCATTGTTCGGCTGACTGTATGGTGACTAAAAAGATTCACTAGTTAATATTGTCGGTATTTTTTCAGACATTTTTACAAAGTCAAAATGAGGCGCCATAATGGAGGTTTGGCCTTGGGAACATATTCTCCATTGTGTATAGTGTACTTTACTACATAATTGTACGTCTCAATGAAATAATTTATATCTTCGAGAGCATTTGCACAAAATAGTGATTAATTCTATAATTTTTCGAATGCAGTCTCGGTGCTATCGAAGTAGGGTCATCCCAGCGGGGACTGTAAAATAATCTATATAAATAGTAAAATAACATATATAAAAAATACCCAATAAATTGTAACTTTTAATCGAATTATCGGATAAGAATTTGAACGCAACCAGATCTACTTACCCCGATGTTATTAAAGGGGCATTCCTTATGCTGTATTGCAATCTACCTAGCTGTCCTCCGCGTAAAGTAGTCGCAGCGTACAAGCCATTTTGCAATCCTGCAATAACTTCCTGCGAGACCCCATACGTGGGCCATATAGTCGCCTTACTTTCTCAAACTCGTATCTTATTCAGGAGATGGCAACTTTCCATTTATTTTAAATTTCTTATCAAGGGGGTTAATTTGGATGCATTACTTTAAGCATTCTATGCATTCTCTAATACAATCATTTTTTGCATTTCAGTAACTTATTGCTGTCAGATACGAGTTCGAGAAAGTAAGGCGACTATATGCAGTATTGTGTAAGCAGTCTCCTGCCTGCGCGGCGGACTGCCATGCAGGTAGTGAATGGGGCGTTTTAGACAGACAGTTACAATAAATATCACAGAAAGGAACAATTTACTTTGTACTATCCACTTTAAGTGCTGTGGCTGAGAAATAGAATAAGATAATTATTGTGTATATATATGTGTGAAAAGTAAAACAGTTTTGTAACTTTGAACAGCGGTCGAATTAAGTCTCGTCT